GGTCGGCGTAAGACAGGAAAAAATAATAATCATTTATAAATCAGCAAGGGTTCATGAGGGAGGGAGGGTGGAGGAAGAAGGGGGAAAATGAGCTCTTATCAAGGGCTCAAGTACAAAGAAAATGCTTTTAAAATGATGATGGCAACATATGTACAAAGGTGTTTGTCACAATGGATATGTAAGGATTGTGATAAGAGCTGCAAGTGCCCCCAATATAATGATTTAATAAAAAAAAAAATTTGTTTTAAGTATAGCTAGAATGCTCCTTAGAGGAAAGGAAGGCGAGACTTTGTCTCACACACTTTGGAAGTGTTGTCAGGAGACACCAGTCCCTGGAGGTAAAGTAGAGAGGCAGCGGAAAAGAGAGCAGTCCTCAACCAGAAGGGCGGGCACAGTGGCTGCCACAACAGGTTCTGGCCCAGGAACAGCGGTGAGGACGGCGAAGGACCGGGCAGCACTTCATTCTGTTGTGCACAAGTGTGCACAAGGTCGCTATGGTTTAGACTTGACAGCACACAGCAACAACAGCCTCTAATTTACTACTGTGTCTGATGAAGCTCCCCATGACCCATGGAACTTCTTCAATGGACCAGGGCTCAGAGGACCACTCTGGAGAGAGCCTTTCTCTCCAGTCACGCCACATTCTGCCTCTGCTCCATTACGCCACCCTCCTGCCTGCCTCTTCTGGGGCACGTCCTGAAAGATCACCCTTCTGTACACACTGTCTCATGCTTCCTCCCGCCTCCCCCTCCACTCTCTGGGATCTGTTTTCTGTCTTGTCACGTGACAGAATCTGCATGTACTAAATATGGCACCTTTCCATGGCCCCACAGTCCCTGCCCCAAACGTCCCTCTTCGTCCCTTTTGGTTCAGCTTGCTGCTCTATTTTTTGCATTAAGAACTAAAACTAGAAAGAAAGAAAAAGCCAACACAGAACTAGAAACAAACACCTGTATTCCCAAGAGTCAAAGTGATGGAGTAGAAAGTGTAACGATGGCATTTTGCTTCCAGCAGTTCCTTTTTACTAAAAGGCGAAGCATGACAATGATGAAGTGTTCTGATTCCCACTGACACCTTGTCCCCACTCCTCTCCCAAAGACATGCCCGTCGTGTGTGTTGCACACCCTCCCGGTGCACTTGGACACATCCACATGCGTATGCAGAAGCAGGGCTCACGAGCAGTGAGACTGTTCCGTCCATCATACAGAATAGCAAAATGACATCAGACAGGAAGTATCACTTAGCAACTTTCTTTTTCACTCCACACTAGGCTCCTGAAGTCCATCCTGATGGATACTATCCATCTATCAAAACTGCTCAGATTGTTTCCATGGGTTGATCCAATCTGTGACCATGGAGTATGCATCAAACCCTGTCTCCAAGTGCTTCCTGGGCCTCCTTGTATTTCCTCCTCCCAACAGCCCCAAGGATAAACCCCAAGTGCCCACAACTGGCAAGAAGCAGGAACGGCAGTCTGTCCAGGTTTAACCTCGTCCAAGGCTGTGCCCTTGACTACCGAGCTCAACTGCACTCTTACCATCAGTAGCCAGTACTGTCTGACTGTCCCTCCCTGGGCCAGGTGCCGGGTACTTTGTCTGTACCAGGACTCCTAATTCTCTGAATTCCCCAGCGTGTTGTCAGGTGAGATCATAATCCTAATTTTAGGGATGGGAAGCTGCAACCAGAGCAAGTCTTGGGGCACAACTATTCAGCCTCAGAGTCTGAATTGTTATCCACTGGGTTCAATGAGAGGTTTACTTTAAAAAAAAAAAAATGTTAAAGCAAGTGAGGGACTAAGATTAGGAGGATGTACCATGTGTCAGTTAAAGCGGTATACAACTTGGCTGGCCTAAGAGTCTGGTTTGGCAGTTATGACGCATGGGATCAGTTGCGACGTCGTTGTCGCCATGATGAGATGAATGGCTATGAAGAGCCAAGCACTTGAGAGGGAGCTTCCTCCGGGTTGTGGGTTGTAATAGACAGATGTCCTGGCAGAGCTCCCTGGCTTTTGGCTTGCTCTAGATGCTGACCTCCCACTCCTGGGATTTGAGCCAGCGGCCTGTCGTGTTGCCTGCTGATCCTGTGCTCCTCAGCCCTTGCAGCTTAGTGAGTGAGAATAAGCTTCTGGTCTGACATCTAGCCCACAGTCTTGGGTTTTGCCAGCCACTACAACCATGTGAGCCATTTTCTTGAGACAAGGATCCATATACACAAAGCTCAAAAGAAGCAAATAAATTAAAAAACTCACTGCCATCAAGTGGACTCTAACTCATAGCAACCCTACAGGAGAGAAGAACTGCTTAGACGGGTTTCCAAGACTGTAACTGTCTTCTGGAGCAGACAGCATCCTTTCTCCCACAGGGCCGCTGGGGGTTTTGAACTGCTGATGTTGTGGTTAACATAGCCCAATGCATAACCATTACGCCACCAGGGCTCCCCTAGATATGCAAGAGCACTTCACAAGATCAAGAAAAATTGGAATTAAGAGGTAATGAGATTTCCCCATGGACTTTTTGAAGCCCCTGTAGATAAGCTTCACTGGATTTGCTTCTCGAGAGAACTCTGAGGCTTGAGAACAGCACAGATCACACTGTGAAGAGGCTTGCACCCCCAGATCTGGAATACTGATGCCCTCACACCAGTGCTGCTACTCCCTGATCAACCTCGTACCAGGGCACCTGGGCAGGGGAGGAGTCAAGGATACTCACGGTCATGGACCATGTAGCAGTGCTTCTGCAGGCGTTGGATGTCCTGTTCCTCCAACACTCCATGAGTCATCAGCAGCTGCAGGAACCGCCGATGGACATCGGTCATGACGCCCGTTCTTCTGGCAGAGGACTGCATCTAGGAAGGCTGAGAAAGAAGGAGGACATGACAGCAGGTGATATCCGGGCACACTAGCAGCAATGCTCAAGACAGGTTGGTGTTGCTGGGCCTTTCTGTCTGTTCCCGACGTACGGAGTGAGCCTGCCGACGACAGCTTGAACCCCCGCCCAGTCCTGAGGCTCCCAAACAAGTACTGCTGTGCTTGAGCCCATCGTTGCAGCTGTGTCCATCCATCTCACACTGACTTACACGGAGACCATGGGTTAGGGTCCACATGGATGAGCTCCTCCTGCTCAGGAGCACAGTGACAAGAACACAAGGCAGAGGGGGACAGTCAGAAAGTGTGGGTTCGAAACCTGGCTCCATCATTTATTAGCTATATGAAAGTGGGCAGTGTGATCTGCCTGTGCTTCGGTGTGCCCATCTGTGAAATGGGATTAATGACAGAGAGGCCCTCCCCAAGCTGGCTGTGAGGCTTAAACAAATTCATACATGTATGTAAAAGCCTGGTAGCGGAATAAGCACTAGGCAATTCTGGATCTGAAATGTGGTGGTCACCAGGTGTATAAACCCAAAACCAGACTCTGCCACGGAAGCCCATTCTGACTCAGACTGACCCGACAGGCAGCACAGAACTGCCCCTTTGGGTTTCCGTGGTTGTAGATCTCTGCAAGAGCAGAACGCTTCCTCTTTCTCACGTAGAGAGGCTGGTGGATTCGACCTGCTGGCCCTGCAGTTAGTGGCCCATGTGTGACCCACGACTCCACCAGATCTGGGGCCTTAGGTAATTTAGCCAAGGGCGCATTTTCTCCTCTCCTGGAAACAGCTGGTAAACACTTAATTGATAATAAATGTTCACTTCCTTCCCGGGATCTCTAATAAAACCACTGTATTTTTAAATCTCTTGTTCTCTCATCAGATGGTATCGTTCTACAACCACAAAGATCAGAGCTGATGAAAGCATTGCACGAGTCCTAACCCTAGTACCTGCTCCTGGCAGAGGCAGTACAGCAGTGGCTGAGGGTGTGGGTTTGGGAATGGCCAGGAGGCACTGAAACCAGTACTTTGCCAGGTCTGCCTGATCTTCAGCATCACTTGACCGCCTTCTTAAAAATGCAGATGTGAGGGCCCCTCCCTACAGGCAGTGGGGCCTGAAATCCTGAGGGTCTGGCAGTCATTTCGGGGGCCACTATGATCTGACAGGGAATGTGTGGTTGCCTTGTGCAAACAGAATGCAGAGACAGTTCCAGCCACAGCACTCACTCCTAGACCTCAGCTGTTCCATCTTTCAAACTGAAGTAGTAACAACTACCTCAAAGGCGTAAGATGAAGCTTCAATGAGATGTGGTTATCAAAGGCTTGCTAAGGACCTGGCACAAGAGATCTGGTTGTCCCTAACCAAAAACAACAACAAAAATGCTTTTTCACTGGGCTTTGTATTTTTAACACCGTCATCCATTCTAGCTCAGAACTAGGGAGATGCATGTCCACAAGGCCAGAGCAGGCAGAGAGCTCTGAGCTGGCAAAGGGCTCCCACGCGCAGGAGAGTCTGAGTCTCCCTGGGGACACAGGCCCTCTTTAGTGTTCCACCGAAAACTAAAAAGAACTGCATAATCACACATGCTCAGAACCACATACGTGATGTTTAGGGGGGACTTGAATTCGTCCGTGGATGTCTAGACCCCAACTTATGAACTCCTGCTCCAAAAAGATTTTTTAAAATATATAGTTTTATTGACATATGGTTCACATATTACATGCTTCCATAGTTTAGTCATATTAAAGAGAGTTGTTCATAAGGGTCAGCAGACAGACCTGGAACTATCTATCGGGTTTGCTTTTTTGGGTTTTTTTTTTTCTTTCACCCTATGCCTATCTATATAAGATAGGCAGGACAAACAATCCCAAGGAGAAAACAACGGGACCAGCGGTCCCAGGGTGGACATGGGAGAGAGCAGGGCAGGGAAGGAGAGCAGGGAGCCAACAACTCAGGGATGAGGGTACAACAAATGATGTAAAAATGAAGGCAAGGAGGTCTGGTGGGGTTTGATCAAGTACATTGTACCCAAGAGGAATTACTGAGAGCCGAGTGGAGGGTGAGCATGATAGTGGGACAGGAGGAAGGTGAAAGGAAATAGAGGAAAGAAGTAGAAAGAAGAGCTATGTATAGAGGTATAGCTATAGGCATGTATATATGTAAACATATTAATTTATAATGAAAGGGATAGAGGCCAATGTACATATATTTATATGTTAAGTATTAAGATAGCAGATGGACTTTGGGTCTCTACTCAAGGCCTCCCTAAACACAAGAACACTTTGTTCTAATACCCTGGCATCCCTTGATACTCACCTTCCCGACACGATCACTGAAGACAAAATGGGTGCCTAAACAAATGTGGTGAAGAAGGCAGATGGTGCCTGGCTATCAAAAGATATAGTGTCTGGGGTCTTAAAGGCTTGAATTTATACAAGCGGCCATCTAGCAAGGAAGCAAATAAGCCCCCATGGAAGAAGCACACCAGTCAGTGTGATCATGAGGTGTTGATGGGATCAGGTATCAAAAGATCCAAAACAAACAATCATATCGTGAATGAGGGGGGTTGGAGCGGCCATCTGTAGACAATTGGATACACACACCCCTACACACACACACACACACAGAAGGGTTACAAGGAAGGGACAATTCAACCAGGGTGCGGTATAGCACCGACGAAACAGACATCATTCCTCTAGTTCCTGAATGCGCCCCCACCCTCCCCCTGCCAAACTACCATGATCTACCTTACAAACCTGGCTAGCCCAGAGTACACACATTGGTAGAGATAACAGCTCTGGACACAGGGAATTCAGGACATACAAACCCCTCAGAAACAGTAGTGGGAGTAGCGATATCATGAGGGTAGGGAGACAGTGGGGGTGGGGAAAAGGGAGAAAGGAGGATCCCATCACAAGATTGGATATATAGTCCACCCCCCAGAGTGATGAATAGCAGAAATGTGGGTGAAGGGAGACAACAGACAGTGTAAGACACAAAATAACAACAATAATATGTAATTGATCAAGGATTCACAAGGGTGGGAGGGGAGGGGCGAGGAGGGGAACAAAGAGGAGCTGATACCAAGGGCTCAGGTAGAAAGAAAAATGTTTTGGAAATGTTGATGGCAACAAATGTACAAGTGAGCTTAATACAAATGAATGATGGATTATCAAGTAAAATGCTTAATTAAAATAAATAAATAAATAGTGCTGTAAAATCATCTCTACCATTCGTTCCAGAACATTTTCTTCCCTAATTGGTGTGTTCACACCACACACCTTGCGGTTGGTCAGCAGCCTCATCAGATTCATTCAATCTGTCTGCCGAGCAAATAACCAGCACTCGCTGCCATGGAGTCAATCCAGACCCATGGTAACACCACAGGACGGGGCAGAACAGCCCCTGTGGGTTTCCAAAACTAAAATTCTTTCCTGGTAGAAAGCCTGGTCTTTCTCCCACAAAGCAGCTGGTGGTTTCTGAACTATTGACCTTAGGATTGAGCAGCCCAGCATATAACCACTACGATATCAAGGTTCCTCATAAAAGAGCCTCAAAATAATTCAGGCCAAAATTGCCATAACTACATCGATTAGCATACAAATTCACAAGCAGGTGGGAGATTTTAACATACCTCCCCCTCAATCACTGATAAAATGTCAACATGCAAACACACGCACACAGACACCAGTAAGACTAGAAGGCTATACAACACCGGTAAAAACATTAATCTAATGAACTCATACAGAGCCCTGTGCCTAACACTCTAGGAGACAGAATTTTCATGCACCTCTAGTACACTATGTTCTGTGAAAGAAGGCATTCTGATCCACAGAGCTAAAACTTATAACACTTGCCTGAGAAGATCCTGAACAGGGCCCAGCCACAAAAGGCAAGAAACTGTCCTGATCAAGAAGATTGTACCCTGAGCTGTTCCTGTTTCTTCTGGGTCATTCCCGATCCCTGTTACTTCCCTGATAAACCACCTAACTCTAAGTATAGTTCATGAGTTCTGGGAGACACTGCAGTGAACAGAACCCAAAGACCACAAGGGGAGTGAGAGGGGAGGAGGAGGAGGAGATG